ACCAGGTGTAGACTATACAATCTTTAGTGACGCATCTCATAACGGCTTGGGATGTGTACTTATGCAAGACGGTAAGGTCGTGGCATACGCATCAAGGCAGTTGAAACCTCACGAATGTAACTATCCCACTCATGATCTTGAGTTAGCAGCAATTGTATTTGCTTTGAAAATATGGCGTCATTATCTCTTCGGAGAAACAACATATATTCATACAGACCATAAAAGTCTGAAATACCTGTTAACTCAGAAAGAGTTGAATCTGAGGCAAAGAAGATGGTTGGAACTTATCAAGGATTATGACTGCTATATCGACTATCACCCTGGTAAGGCTAACGTAGTTGCTGATGCGTTAAGTCGAAAGATGATAGCCGAACTCCGAATCCAACCAACTCTGGAAAACGAAATTCACTCAGCACAAAAGAATGATGATTACTGTTTGAAGACTTGTGAACTTGTCTCTTAGGGGGAGAGACAAGACTTCCCTGTGAATAACGGAATTTTATTCTACAGGAATCGTTTGGTAGTTCCAAGTGGTGAAGTGAAAGAACGTTTAATGCGTGAATCTGACGAAATTATTTTAAGGGGGAGAGAAATGTAACACCCCGAAAATAGGCCTATCAGAATTAATTAATTGATAATTGATTAATTACTAAGAAGGACCCAAAAATAAGTTATTTATAAACTTTGTCAATAAATAATGAAAATTATATCGTTATGTAGAATTTAACTGTCTGATCCCAACGGTTCAATCGGATTTCAATTCGGAGAAAGTTGGACCAAAAAGTGTTCCCCGCCTGGGACCAAATTAGTCCCAATCAGGGACTTGCGTTTAGAATCGGAGGAATCCGCCAGCCGCTCCACTGAGACGCCAAAACAGTGTTAGGGAGGTCATCTCCCATGGCTTCTTCCCACTCCTCATTCCTATATAAACCCTCCCATTTCTCACCATTTTACACCATTCTCCTTCCAAGAGATAGCTGAGAGTGTAGAGAGTGAAGTAGTGCTGTCAAGAGAGCTTCCCGTCGCCGGAGATAGCCACAATCCTCGCCGGAAGTTTCGCCGGAAAATCTTCAAAACCTCCATTAAGCTTCGAGGTAAGCCCATAGATATATCTAGTGACTAAAATGTTCGTATAGATCGTTTCTACGCTCATAAACGGTCGTTTGGTTGAGTTTTGTGTTTGACATGCTTGAAGAACCAAGAATCATAAACCATGAAATTGATGTTTAAACTATGAATTAATGATGCCAAAATGATCTATGAACCTTGGAGAACATTTCTATATAATTTAATTGAAGTTCAGTACCTAAAAATGGTATTCCCGAAAAATGGACCGAAGGTTGAAGAAGATGAACAGTGACCTGAAACTACACTGCCGGGATCGATCCTCTAGCAGTATTTCTTCTAGCTTGGATCGATCCAGAGGGCTGGATCGATCCCCCGAAAATCTGATCCAAAAATTTGTTCGAAAATGCTATTTTTGAACTGTAAAATCCTATTTTAGATACCAATTGATTATGATCATTATAAAAATGATTTTTCACAATAAAAGTGATGTTTTTAACAAATAAAAATGTTATGTGATGCATGACGGTAAGCTAGGGTGTTAACACCCGAAGCTAGGCCGCTAATTGTTATTGAATATTATGTTGATTAATGATTATGGTAATGATTATTGATTGATTATTATGATGATTAAATCTTGATGAATATTCTGATTAAAAATGATAATTGTGAATGATTAAATCATAATTAATATGTTGATAATTGTGAAAATAATATGTATTGTTAAGGGTATCTAGAAGACCTCTAAGATATTCCCATATTAATGTTGATTTAAAAGGTATCTAGAAGACCTGTAAGATATACCCATTTAAGTTAGGCCTTTTGGGTATGAACCCCAGTGGCTAGGGTTAAAACGTATGTACGGGATCCAATAGCCAAACTTGAGTACCTACTCGTTTGGGGGTACCACCCACCCAACAGTGAACACTACACTGTCGGTTTCTTGTTGGCCTTAAGTGAAGGTAAGTTTAAGATTTTCAAAACCCTTTTATCTTAAACTAGGCCTACCTTAAGGATTATTTAGAAGTACTTTATACTGGAATATAGTTTAATTATTTAAACTAGAATTCGTTTAAGGGTTGACAAATATTAAAGTGATTGGGCTTAGACTAAGAATAGTTTAAGGATATTGTTGAATGTTGAATATTGAATATTGAATATGAATAAATATTGAATGATGAATATTGAATTGAATATTGTAATTATTATAAATGACGGATAAACGTTGAAATGTGAAAATAAAATAATGAATGAAGAATATTGACTAATGATTATTGAGTATCTGAACTAAACATTATGTGCATGATATCAAATGATTTGATTATGAATTTAGATTCAGTTTATATGGATGTTCAACGCATTAGATATGCTTACTCAGCTTAAACGCTGAGCGTGTAGTATGTTTTATTTATTACACGCAGGCAAACAAAAAGAATGAAGCAATGATTTCCTCGAGGCAGATGGGACGAGATGGTCGAGAGGATGTGTGTTTTGGATTTGGAATACTGTTTGAAAAGACATAAATTAATTATGTTTGTATTATGTTTTTATTAAGCTTCCGCAACATTAAATTACTCTGAATGACTTATTATGAAATAAAGTTTTAAATGTTTGAAATATTTTTGAATGTCTACGAATACCAAGTTTATACTTTAGTCCGAAAGGGGCTGCAGATCTGGACGGATTAGGGTGTTGCAGATAATGACGATGTTTATGCGCACGATGAGTGCTCATTATGTTTGTAATCGTAATATAGTATAAATAGAGGGAGAACCCTCCATTCTAAACCAAGTGAAAACACTGATATACACACGGTAATAGAAATGCATCAAGATTGATTAATTATCGTTATTATTCGTTCTTCGTCGCCATAGTTGGTGGGCTAATTCCCATCAGAATGAACTGAATATAATGTACATGATATTAAATGATTTGGTTATGAGTAGCGATTCACTTTATGTGGATTGTCGATGCATTAGATATCCTTACTCAGCTTCACCGCTGAGCGTGTATTATCTTTTATTTGCTACACGCAGGAAAATAGAATGAATGATGTGACATGATCCTGGCAGCAGATGGGGCGAGATTGTCGGGATAGATGTGACAATTTGAACTATAATTTCAAAAGTCTTGAAATAATTATTGTGATTGACATGTGACATAATTTAATTCGCTTCCGCATTATTGAACACTCCGTATTACTACAGTTTATGTATTGAATATTATTTATGATAAATAAAAATGTTTTGAATGTTAAAGATTACTAAATTTATACTTTAGTCCGAAAGGGACTGCAGACCTGGACGGATTAGGGTGTTACAAGAAATGTGTAATTTTAGTGTTTTTCCAATTTTATTGTTATTTTATTCTAGGTTAGGACAAGATGTGTACATTAATAGTAATATGTATGATGTGGTAGGTAGGTTAATAATTAGAAAAAGTAAAAGAAAGATTTTAATTAAAAATGAAAGTTTTTTAAGTAAAGATCAAAAGTGAAATTAAAAAGGTTTTTTGAGACAGAATGAGTACTTACTATTACTTCTCGATAATTTTTGTTTGTTTGTATTTTTACGTTGACCATGTGATAAAATAAAATATTTTTGTCACATCTTGTTTCGTAGAATTTTTTATATAATTTTGATATATATAATTTGTACTTTTCATTTGTTGGGACTACAAAGGATTGCGAAAAGAAAAAAATATACGACCTTATAACTCGTTCAGATTTACAATAAATTAAATAAAGAAAGTAAAAATCTTCGGGAAGCTCGAACGGAACTGGGGCAGAGCTCGAATAGAACAGGAGCCTTGATGGACGAGCAGAGATGTCGGAGGAATAGTAGGGGCGGGCCGGAACAGTACCTCGAACGAGAAGTTAAGAAAGCGGAGTCGCTGGAGCTTTCCTTAAGGTAGTATTGCACCGGCGAACGAGAACGATAAGAAGTTATCGCCAGAAAACATGATCAAAAATGGGGAGAGAGTCGGAAAGTACTTCGTATATCTGAGAGCTCACTGTGTCTCTCAACCAAACTCTCCTTAAATAGGAGGAAGTTTGGCTCTTCGGATGGACTGGACAGATATACCGAAGAGTCGCGAGTGACTTCGGTCTCAACGGGTTGCATACATTCTCTTTGGACGACAACACTTCATTAATCACGAAGTGTCCAAGCGTGTTCAATTCGATCTCGTAAAAAGATAGCCACGCCACGCCGCCGGCACGGGCGCGGGCGTGCCCTGCCCCGACGCGCGCGCGTGCCGTGCCGAGCTGGCCGCACGGCTGCGACGGCGGAGCGCTAGGTGTCCTTTCTTGTTCCCTTCATAAATTCAATTAAATGCCTAAGTTTAAATATGGAAATACGAAAGGTTCAAGTTCCAGTGTGGGACAAGGTTTTACTCTTTTCACGTGTTCGACTTCGTGAATTAATTTGTCATTTACCCGAACACCATTTTTGGCATATAATATGTCGAAACACTCATCTCACTTACGAGATGAATTGTCCATAATCATTTTTGAAAATAATTTTGTGGACCCTACTGAATTTATGACCGAAAAATGTCAAATTAAACTAAAAATTCCAACAATCCCCCACATGAATGAAAATTAATTCATGTGACTGGCAATAACTCTGTTATTGACGAACTGCAAGAGTAGGTAGGTTGTTACGCCTTTGAACCCACTCCTTGTATGTGTTGAGAACTTGTCGTGCGCCCCAAAACAAATTAAAAATTTATAAAATATCCTTAGCTAACCCCCAATATATAATCAAATAAAAACTATAGCTAGGGCAAGCAAGGGTCGATCCCACGGAGAAAGTTTGTACTTTGTAAAACCAATTTAGTATGCAAACACATTGTCACAAAAATAAAACAAATAAAAGCATACTAAATTGGTTTTAAAAAGTACAAACTTTCTCCGTGGGATCGACCCTTGCTTGCCCTAGCTATAGTTTTTATTTGATTATATATTGGGGGTTAGCTAAGGATATTTTTTAAATTTTTAATTTGTTTTGGACCGCACGACAAGTCCTCAACAAATTTTGGCGCCGTTGCCGGGGAAAGTTTTGTATGAAATCATTTTAGTATGTGATTGTATTCTTTATTTTTTGTTTGTTAGTGAGCATGTCGTAGTACCTCTTGTCTTGAGTTCTAATTTTTCTTACATGCGTATTCATAGAATTGAGGTTCTACGTGCTAGAATGATCTAAAATCAGCCTTAATGACTCTCTTGAATGCTGAATTTGTGCTCCAAATGCTGTTTTTATGAAATTTCAGGCCTATTTTTCATAAAAAATTTATTTTGACATGATTTTCTGCATATTTTCTTGCTGATTTGAGTATCCATTGGTCATATATGTTGCATTTGAGCTGATTTGTTCATTTGTTTTATGAGTACAACATGTTTGGATGTCTTACGTAAGAGTTGTGTGCTTTTGAAGCATATAATGCTAAATATGCAAGAAAAAAATGATTTTACTTGCTGTTTTTTTTATAAATCTGCATTACTCTTGCTGTTTTTGTTCTTTAAGAGTGCTGATTTGCTTGAAATATGAACTATCATTGATATATCTTGCTTAGGGACAATATTTAGAAGCATATCATGATGTTTATATGCTGATTTTTGAGGTTTAGAAGCCGAATTTGTTGAACTTTAGACCTTTACTGCCGTTTTTATTAAAAAAATCTGCAACATCTTTTCCTGATTTTCATGCTGAATTTGAGTTCCTAAGATGCCTACTTGCTGAATTATGTACTTTAATTGTTAAATACATGCATAGGAACTGACTTAGAGGTATTTAGCTTGTTTTTGCACTCTGAATTTGACCCTTATATGCTAAGTTTTGATGTCAAAGTGCAAAAATGCAGAAAACTTAGGTTCTAAAAACTGATTTGAAGTTTAAATTTTGCACTTAGAATCTGAATTTTGTTTCCCAACTGAGCTTCAAGTGTTATTATTTATAGAAGTTGGAAACAAGAGCTGGATGCTTAATTTTACACTTTTTAATGTTTTAAAGAAACAAATTTACTTTACTACTTCATGGCTTAAGTGAATATGTTTTGGCAAGTAGTAAGTTTTGTCTAGCCATTGACGTTAAACCGGGCAGCTTATGGGAGGCAACCCACCTACTTTTCTTTCTCTTTCTTTAATTTTTATTATTGTTTACTTATTAATCTTTTGCTTTAATTAAAAAAACCAGAAAATTAGAAAACAGAAAAAAAATCAGAAAAAAATACAAATATCATCATCAGGAGTTCAGAATACTGCTGCTTTAGCTATTTTTTAATGGTCTATTTTGCTTCATGTATGCTTCTAACCATTTATTTGAGTTAATATTCAAGATCTATTAAGTCATAGGTAGAAGCATGCCCTTTGGAGTAAAAATCTGCACAAACAGGTGTGAAATCTGATCCAAACCAGTATCTCAGGTTTGGGCTTTAGTTTCCTTACCTTTTTTGTTCAAAGATTGGTTACTGATATTACAATTTGCACAATGAGAAGTTGCACTATAAAGTCATACTTTTTTGCACAAGTGAATAGCCTATCCTTTCAAATCTGCTTCTTGAGCTTATATGGTTAATATCTGCATAGTATGTGCAAAATTCTATCCTAGACCAACTGTCTCAAGTACTTAATGGTTGCTTTGTTGAAAATCTGACCTCTCGGGTGTTATAATATGGTCATATTTAAGCTGACAGTTGAGATATATGCATTGTTTACAGCTGATTTTTGGATACTAAGAAAAAATTCTGCACTTTGAAAAGTTATTTTTGGACTTGTAAGCTGATTTTTTGAGTGCAAAATGCAAATTTTACACTTTTTACAGCTTATAAGTGCTGAAATAGAAAAAATCTACAATCTTTTCTAGGTGTTCAATCTGATTTTTGAGTTCATCAAATGCATATGTGCTGAATTATGATGTTTAATAGATGCATATGAGCTGCTTTGCACGTGCATGACATAACTAACCTTCTCATATGCAGCATTTTGTTTTGAAAAGTGCAAAAAGGCACAAGAATTGTTTTCCAGGACCAAATTTGAAGTTTAAAATCTACATTCTTTAAATCTGAATTTTCTTTCTTCAAAGCTAAAAGACTTGGTCTTAGTCATGTTTTTGAAGATTTTGGGTCCACCGAACACATCAAGGAGAGGAAAGTGCTAAATCGAGGCTGTGTATACTTTTTTTTGAATTCCCCAATCCCCTTCTCTCTTTGCTAAGTCCGTGCTTGCTTAATATTGCCATTTGCGTACCATATAGATGCATCGAGGACTATGCATAATTTAAGTGTGGGGGGAGTTTCTCACGATTATCTTATTATTTGGGAAATCATATTTTGGGGCAAAAAATTTTTCTTTTCAAAATAGGTTTAGGGTCCAAATATTTTTCATTCTTAGTTGCATATCTTCTTATTTAGAGCATTATTTTCAAAATTGATCCAAAAACCTCATTGTTTTCCTTGGGGCTTTATTCTGGAAGATAGCAAGTGTATACTTTATAAACCAGCTTTGAGTCTTATGTCAATTTTCTCAGTAAAATGACTTTAAAATTTGAATTTTTTAGGTTTCTTTAAAATTTTATTTTCTAGAATTGGTCATCCACATACTATCTAGATGCTCTTTTTATCACTTTGCTTGATATTAAAATCTGAACAAAGAACCAGTTTTAGGAGTTTTCTTGTTTTTTTAAGAAAATTGTATGTTTTTTTTTCTTTTAGGCTTTGTTTTAAATTTTGCTACCGTTGCCATTTAGCCTTTCTGAACCATAGGATTTCCTTAGAAACTTTTTTGTGGCAACTTTAGAGCATTTTTTCTAGAACCCAAAATATCCATTTTTTTTAGTTCTCCATCTTGTAGGATTTTTAGCTCACTTTGTTTTCAAAAATGTTTTGGGCATAAAGTTTTAAGTGTGGGGTTTAAAGTTCGCTTTGTTTTTTCTTGATGATGAAAAAAAAATAATGTATTCTTTTTGCCCCTTGAACGAGGACGTTCAACTCTTAAGTGTAGGGGTATTACGGCGCCAAAATTTGTTGAGGACTTGTCGTACGGTCCAAAACAAATTAAAAATTTATAAAATATCCTTAACTAACCCCCAAGATATAATCAAATAAAAACTATAGCTAGGGCAAGTAAGGGTCGATCCCACGGAGAAAGATTGTACTTTTGAAATCAATATAGCATTCAAACACGTTGTCACTAAAAAAAATAAAATTAACTACTACACATATGATAAAACTTATAATAAAACTTATAACTAAATAAATATAAAAACTTATAAATATAACTTATATAAACAAAGAACTTATAATATAACTTATAAAAACAAAACACATAACTAAGTATATAAAAGTATAAACACTTATATTTATAACTTATAAATAAACACTTATAATATAACTTAGAAAATAAAAACAAAAAGGAAAAGGGGGGGNGGCCCGGAGTCAAGAATTCAAAGGCCTTTTGGATCACTTTGAACCCCCACTCACCTCAAGCGCTCAAACAATGATTCCAAAAGATGAAAAAGTTTATAAAAGAGCGAATCTTTCTTTCATTCTAACTCCCATGCACAAAGTATTCATGAAGAACATTTGATACACTTTAATGATGAAAATATTTTGCAGGTTTCCTTGAACTACTCAAGCATAAGAATTGTAATCTATTCACATAAGAGAACATTACATATTTTCAAAAACTTAAAAATTGTTTTTCTGCTTAAACAACCTTAAATTTTATGAAAATAAACAAACAAATGAAGACATACACCATCACTTCATAACGAATCTTAAGGTAAATGTCCAACTTATGGGGCTAAGAAGTCCATAAACCTTAAAATTTTACGAAACACATAGCACAACGAAGAATCACGTATGAATTCGGAAATCATTTAACTATAATATGGAGCTAAAATAGCTTCAATGAAAACCAAATTCTACATACCAACCTACTTATGAAATCAAACCGTGCGATTCAACCAATTCAACAACAATTTGCACAACAATTGAAGAAAATTAATATAAATCAATTCTCATTCATAAGAGATTTAATATAAACATTAAAAAAACCCATAAAAGAACACCAACAATTTTGAAATTTTTGAAATTCACACAACAAGCAAAATAAAATGTAAAAATTAAACTAAAAACAACACTTTACAAAGAAATTGGAGAACAAAGTTGGAGAAACAAGCTAGGGTTACCATTAGAGGAAGAAGGTGATGAAAACTTGTAGAATTGGAGCTTGAAGGAACTGCCACACCTATCACCGCCGACCATCGTCGAACGCCGGCGAGCCGTGGTCGGCCGCCGTCTGCTTTCTTCTCCGGTGGCGTCAATTGCAGCGGCCAAAGCCGCTGCTCACTTTTCTGTTTGGTGCGATGCCCTTCCCCCCTTTTGAAGCTTTAATCATCATCAATTTATAGCAAGAGGATTGTTTACCGTTGTAGATTTGAGTGAGTAGAGAGTGCCGTTGCTATTGATTGAGGCGAAACTGACGGAGGAGCGTTGAAGAAGCCGGGCGCTGGTTTATCGCGAAGAGGAAGAAGAAGTCGTAGACTTCAATTCTCCGTTCTTTTTATTTCCTTTCTTGCGTAAATCTTAAGAGGACAAGGCCTGGACTTCTTTTTATTTGATGATGGGTTTGGGCTCTAGCCAAAATCAATATCTTCTTTCCAAACTTGAACTGCATTTTTGGCCTTCTGCTATATTTTTCTCCAAAAAATAAGATATCTGATAATTTTGGGTTAGGAAAAATAATAAAATGTAAAAAATGATTAAAAAGCTACTGTTTTTGAAAGAAAATTAAAAGATTGTAAAAATGAGAATTAAAATAAAACTAAGCTAAAAGACTAAAAATTAAACTCTAAAAATATTAAAAATACCTAAAATTGAATAAAAAGTACTAACCCAAACCCGACTTATCAGTATGATAAATGACAATATATTGTACACAGGTTCTCAACTAACCATCGTTTCGTTCTCATGGGTGTGCCCGTTATGGTCATGCAACACGCATCTGGTTTTGTGAGAGTGTCAGACAGGATTAGCCCATAATCTTTCTGTCGAAGCGACCGCACTTCATTCTTACTAGGTGATTCTTCTAAGAGTATCCCGATTACTCCACTTGTACCCCGTTTTCCATAGTTCAAGAATCATTAAAGCATCATGTTAACCTCATCGTTTTTGGGAGTCACTATATCTGTGTAGGAATGAGGGTGTTAAGTCGGTGATCCGGCTCGCCCCACAGTGACCATGCTTCGTCCCACAGGTAGGTTGTCCCATTGAACCCAGGTACCACCCATGTTGGGTTTTCCTTCATGGAACGTTCCCAGCACAGGGTAGGGCTTTCATACCGATTCCTACAACTAACTTCTCATGTTGCTCATTTGTTAACCCTTTGGTTAGTGGATCCGCTCATTTGAGAAGTTGCCTAATGGTTTTGTGTCTACGTCGAATGTGCCTAGACTTACCATTGTACATATTGCTCCGAGCTCGTCCTATTGCAGATTGACAATCACAGTAAACGCAAATAGGAGGAACTGGTTTTTCTCAATTTGGAAAATCCTCAAGAAAATTCTGAAGCCAGTTGGCATGTTGTGCACACTTATCTAGTGCTATAAACTCAGACTCTATGGTGGATCTGGCAATTAACGTTTGTTTTGAGGATTTACAAGATATGGCTGCACCGGCTAACGTAAAGATGTATCCGCTTCTGCATTTTGAATCCTTATTATCCACAATCCAATTGACATCAGTATACCCTTCCAGTACGGGTGGATACCTGCCATAGCATAGGCTATAATCTCGAGTATACCGAAGGTATCTCATCACTCGGACTATGGCCTTCTAGTGTTCAGTGCTTGGATTACTAGTATACCTACTTAGTTTGCTGATGGCACAAGCTGAATCTGGCCGTGTGCAGCTCATGAGGTACATCAGGCTTCTGATAGCTCTAGCATATTCTGTTTGAGAATTGCTACTCCCTCGGTACTTACCAAGGTGAACATTTACATCTATCGGCGTTTTAGCCATCTTTGTATCATCCTTGTTGAATTTCTCAAGGATTTTGTCAATGTAGTGGGATTGGCTCAGGCTCAGACCATCTGTTCTTCTTATTATTTTGATTCCGAGAATCACATCAGCCAGACCCAAATCTTTCATATCAAATCGTGCGTTTAACATGTCCTTGGTGGACTTAACTATCCTATCATTACTTCCAACAATGAGTATGTCATCTACATACAGACATAGAATGGCATATCCTTCAGATGTGTCTTTAAAGTACACGCACTTATCTGACTCATTTATCTTAAATCCATTGTTCATCATTACCTAGTCAAACTTATCATACCATTGTTTTGACACTTGTTTAAGACCGTATAATGATTTCACAAGTTTGCATACCTTCTTTTATTGGCCCGGAACCTTAAACCCCTCAGGTTGTTCCATATAGATTTCTTCATCTAACTCGCCATTTAGAAAAGCTATCTTTACATCCATTTGGTAAACATCCAATTTTCGTAAGGATGCAAATGCGATGATCATCCTGATAGAGTTTATCCTGGTCACAGGCGCGTAAGTATCAAAGTAGTCATAGCCCTCACGTTGGCTATAACCTTTGATCACAAGTCTAGCTTTATACTTGTCAATGGAGCCGTCAGGCTTCATTTTCCTCTGGAAGACCCATTTAGATTCTAATGGCTTGCAGCCTGGAGGGAGATCAACCAATTACCACGTGTGATTTTGAAGAATAGAATCAACTTCACTTTTTATGGCTTCTCTCCACTGAGGTCCTTCAGTTGAGGTTACATCCTCGTGATAGGTTCGTGGTTCCTTTTCTACCAGACAGGTTAGAATATCGGGTTCATTCTCCATTAAAAATGACAAAGTTCCTTTGTCAAATTCTATCAGATATGTTATGAAGTCAGAACCGAACATCTTTTCAGTTCGTATTCTTTTACTTTGTCTCAATTCAGTTTCATGTTCAATTTCATCATCGTCACCGAAATTCAACTGATTTGGATCATCGTTGTCCATCACCTTAGTATGAGCACGTTTAGACGATCTAGCTTTGTCGCTTGACTTGTACGAAAAAATATGCTAAAAAAATGTTGCATTCCGTGACTCTATAATTGTGTTCTTGTGAATTTCAGGATTATCTGATTTGTACACCAAGAACCGGTACGACGTACTATTGTACCCAATGAAGATTCCATCAACTGTCTTTGGACCGATCTTCATCTTCTTTGGTGGTGGTGCAAGTACTTTTGGTAGACACCCCCACGCTCTGAGATACTTATAGGAAGGTCTCCTACCATGCCAAAGTTCATACGGAGTTTTGTCAAGTTTCTTACGAGGTATTTTATTTAGTAAATAATTACTTGATAAAATAGCCCCCCTCACATGTTTTGGGATAATCCAGAACTGATTATTAGCATCGCATTCATCATGTCTCTCAGAGTGCGATTTTTGTGCTCCGCTACACTGTTAGATTGCGGTGTATAAGGTGGGGTTACTTGATGCACTATTCCATGCTGTGCACAAAACTCATTGAGTGGAGCATCATACCCCCCTCCTCTATCACTTCTTAATGCTTTGATCTTGCGATTGAGTTGATTTTCCACTTCATTCGTATATTGAATGAAAGTGTCCAACGCTTCATCTTTACTTTTCAGTAAATAGATATAGCAATATTTCGTGCTATCATCGACGAAGGTAATAAAGTACCTATACTTATTACCTCCTCTTGAAGGCATTGTTCGAAAATCACACAAGTCGGTGTGAACCAACTCTAGAGGTTGAGTGTTTCGTTCGATCGTTTGGAATGAACTTCATGTTGACTTGGCCTCAACACAAGTTTCGCGCTTGTGAGTTAAGTCAATGCTAAATTTAGGAATGATTTCCATATTACTTTATTTCCGAAGAGATACATAATTAACATGTCCTAGTCTACCATGCCATAAACTAGAAGACTCACAGACATAAGCAACATGATTTTTATTGATCTTCTCATGATCAGTCATTACATTTAGCTTTACAAATCCATCAGAAATATAACCTTTCCCTATAAAAATTCCTTTCTTGGACAAAATCAGCTTGTCTGATTCAAATACCATCCGAAAATCGTGTTTGATCAACAATGACCCCGACACTATATTCTTACGAATATCTGGCACGTACAACACGTCATTTAGCATTAGCTCTTTGCAATGAGGTCATCTTTAGCTTGATCTTTCCGGTCCCTTGGACCTCTGATTGGGCCGAGTTGCCCATCCAAACCTTGTCACCGGAGGTCTCTTGGAATTCATGAAACATGCTCTGATTGGAGCAAATATGGTGTGTGTGGCTCCTGTGTCCAGAAACCATTCCCTCGGGTTTGACCCGATGAGATTCACCTCGGTGACAACTGCACACAGGTCCAAGTTGTCGAGCTTTGCGCACATGGCTTCGGTTGTCTTCTTCTTGTTCTTTTGTGGCTTCTTTTCCCTACAGTCGGAGGAGTGATGCCTGGTGATGCCACAATTGTAGCACTTCCCCACAAATTTGGAAATGCCACCCTTAGGACCTATTTTCTTTTTGTCCTTCCCGCCATGTGAGGATCCCGAAGGATGTTCCACCACATTTGCCTTCGCCCCCCACCTCTTCTAGCAAGCCCTTTCTCTCGGATTCTCAACCGCGTGAGCTCCAGGTTCTTTTGAGCTTGAGATCGGCTTTGAAGTCTTCCCAAGAGCGAGGAAGTTTGTGAATGATGGCCGCCACTTGGAAGGCCTCACTAATGCCTACTTTCTCTTCATTGCATTTGTTGAAGATTACCGTAAGCTCCTCAGCCTGGGCGACAACAGATTTGCTGTCAACTCCAGCATCTTCCCGACGATGAATTTCTTCGTGCTGACATCTTCAGCTTGATACTTCTTGTTCAAGCTATCCCAAAGCTTCCTTTCAAGCTTTGCATTGGCATAGACAGGGTACAACGTTTCGGCCAACCCCTCAAGAATATAGTTGATGGTGAGAGTTGTGTATGGTACCATGCTTGGTTCACTATCGCCACGAGGGGGTTGTTGCTATCGTTCGCCTGGGGAGGATCTAGCTGTAGGTACTCAACAAATCCAACAACAACAACAACAACCCAGTTAAATCCCACAAGAGTAGGGTCTGGGGAGGGTGTGTGTACGCAGACCTTACCCCTACTCGAAAGTAGAGAGGCTGTTTCCAAAGAGACCCCCGGCTCAACGTCGAAAGTTGCATTGCTTGACTAACTGCTACTTCATTAATTAAAGAAGCGCAGACAGTTTAGAGATCCATTTTGATTTATTCCATCACGCCCCAAA